CGACGACGTCCTGCACGCCGTGAATCACCAAGGCGGGGATGCGCAGCTCGCGGAGGGCGGCATCCCTCCCAGGGCATCGCCGCAACGCCGCGGCCTGGCGAATCAACCCTTTGCAGTAGCTACTCCGCTGCAGGGAGAGAAGATAGCGGTGCTTGAGGTAATCCCGATCGACCGGGAGGGTATGCCGAAGCAGCCGGCTCAGCACACTCACCCGGAACTCCAACAACTCCCCCACCGTGCAATTCCGTGGCGGTCGTCGGAGCATCTCGAGTTTCACCCACATCGCCGCATCGGGAAGATCCGGTGCGTTTGTGGTGGACATCAAACTCACCAAACTCAACACCCGCGAGGGGGCGATTAACGCCATGCACTGCGCGATCACCCCTCCCATGCTGATCCCGAAAACGTGCGCGGCGGGCACCTGCAGGGCGTCGAGCAACGCGAGGCCGTCCTTCGCCATATCCTCGATCGTATAAGGGAGGCGCTCGCCGAGGAGGGAGGCCCACTTCCCTGGGAGCAACAGCCCAGGCCCGACCACTTTGCCGCAGTTCTCGATCTTGGTGGAGAGCCCGATATCACGGTTGTCGTAGCGGACGACGAAAAATCCCGCGCGGACCAAATCCTCGCAGAAGGATTCATCCCAGGCGTAGAGTTGCATGTTCAGCCCACAGACGAGTAAAACCACCGGGCAACCCGCCTGAGGATCGCCAAAGCATTGGTAGCAGATCTCAATCGACATGTTGCTCGAGCTGCAAAAGCGAACCTTTGTGATCAGCTCCTCGGTGCGAGGAATCTCCGACTGCGTTTTTTCCGACTGCATCGGTAATCAACCTCGTGATTATATTGATTTCTTTTTTTTGTTCAGGTCAGAGGGGGAAGGAGGGGGGGGGAGTGGCAATGTACACAGTGTTTAGAAATATAAATATATATATATATATATATTTTTCCAAGCCACTACTACCCCCTCTACCAATATATCCTTGAGGAAGAGAAATCGGAGCGATTAAAAGAGGTACTAATTAGAGACTTGGTGTAATATGTGAAAAAAGTATGGGTGTAAAGGGGGAGGGGAGGGGACAATGGAATGAAATGAAATGAAGAATAATAAACGAGTAATGTAATATAGTCCCTAGTGCAAAAAAGGTATTGAGTATTGATTTTTTATGATCAGAAAATTATCTTCTATATATATATATCTATATAGCGAGAGAGAGAGAGCGATCCACTCAAAGAAAAAGAAGAACAAAAAAGTGGGTGATAATATATCATAAATTATAAATCTATGATGAGAACTCCTATTTCAATACAGAGAGACATACAGATGTGTTCACCCAAAAACATAATTACATAAGATGTAATCCCATTTAAAGCTAGGTAAGTGTTTTTTAGCTATTCATGAACTAATTGACGATTTGTTAACCATCATGTGCACAAGAAAATGGGGGGAGGTCGAAGGGGGGAATTATAGAACCGATCCAACCCCATACCCACGCACCCGCTGCCAATTGAAGCAGAATAATAGATGTTAACGGACTCATTCGAATAAAGGGAAAAAAAAGAACACCAGTGTTTTAAGGCACGCAAAAGGGGAGGGAATATAAAAGAAAGGGATCTTAGCATTCCTAAAGCTTCGAATTTGTCTTAGTGTAGGATTCTTTTGCCTCTGAAAGTGCATTCTCCCCTGTTTTATGCAGTAAATCCCGCGATGAAGCGCTATCTTCATGTCTCTGTGATCCCTCACTGTCCGTTACCTTTCTCGCCGCTGCCTCTTCGCCTGCACGGATGTTTTCCATAATCCAACGCACGTATTGGCTGCGGAGGGCGGGAAGGAGGACGTGTCCCATTCCCTCAACAAGGTGAAGTTTGCTACCTGGAATAGCCGCCGCCACATCCATGGCGTTCTCCGGCGGTGAAAGAATATCCTCCGCCCCTTGAATCACGACGGTGGGGATGTAATGCGGAGACACCGTGCGGGCAGCCCCAGGAGAAGCCCTCGACGAGGAAGAAGCAGAAGAAGCCGGCGGGCGAAGGCTGGTGATCGTCGCCCGTGGCGTTGTCTCCGACTCGGGTTCGCTTAGCAGCGCGAAAAGCTGCCTTCGCGCGGCCCGGATACTCCAGCTCCGCCGAAACGCCCCCACCACCTGACGCTCCCACCGTTCAACGTCAAAGGGGTAGCGCTTTTGATCGCCGGCGATTTTCTCCAGAAAGCGGGTGAGGGCGCGGGCGTGGAGCTGCAGGCGGGCCTCCGCCG